ACACACACACACACACACACACACACACACACACACACCAGATAAAAAAACATCAATGGGGAAATGGATGAACAATACAGCAAAATTTATAATACCTTTTCCATGGTCAGTTAGGGCAACTCTCATCCCAGGAAAGCAGCACTGTGATAGATACATCTCTCCCTTTCATCATGTAGGGGAAAAATATGAATTAACTATTTAGAAAGTGTAAGAATTTTTACAAGTTGTGTTGCCTGTCTCAACTTACAGAGCTATCCACAGAAGGGTCAGCAGAAGATGACACCACCACCACAGCTCTGAAGGCTTCTTCCATTGCCACTTCAACCACCAAAATCTCTACTACAACTTCAAAACCCCTGACTCACTTCAAGACAGCAGAGAAAACAGGCAACATAAACACAACAAAGATGATTATCACAGCCTCAGATGCTTCCCACAATGTCCTAGGGATCACAGCATCATTTTCCACAGGATCTGGAGAAAATACCACCATGGTCCTCAGTACAAGACCACCTTCTTACAGTAAAGAACCAGAGAGCACAGCCCCATGGAGCCCCAGTCTTAGGACAGAGACAAGCCAAGTTGTTTATCCTTTGCCCATATCCTCTGGTGAGTCTGATACAGTCTCATTGGTCACACATCCTTTAGAGATTACTTCAGCTATTGCCAGGATAACTCAGAATGCTTCTCAAGATGAATCAGATTCCATGGTATCCACAGCCACCACTCCCAGAGGAGAAGTCAGTTCAGCCATTTCAGCAGCAGCAGCAACAGCAACAGCAGCAACAGCCGTTTCCCCTGTTATACCAGATTTGGTGACCTTTCTGATTAGCATGCCTGAAGAAAGCACCATTTTGTTATTTCCAACTCTTACCGATTCCCTGAGTGAAACAGAGACAACAGGCTCTGGGGTCACCAAGACTGGGACAGATGTCCACTCAGCCATTCCCACTGTGCATTTTTCCTCTGGTGAGCCAAAAACAACACAAGTCCTCATGACAACTCCAGATGTTTCCCATACTATATCAGATAGTATACCCTCAGTGGCCACCAGTTCTGAGACAGAAGCCAAATCAGATTCTTCAACTTATGATATCTCTCCTAATGTATCAGAAGTACTGACTTCACCTGTCACTACTTTTAGGACAGTCACCAGCACCGATATTCCAATTTTGACTCTTTCTTCTGATAAACCAGAGACAGGAGTCTCAATGATCACTCATACTGGGGTAGAGGAAACTTCATTCCTTCCAACTACGACTGCTTCCTCTGGTATACTTGGGATAGTGACTTCACTAGTACCTAGTTCTGAGATATACACCAGTACAGTCTCCCCAACAATAACAAGATATTCACAAGAACTAGAGAAAACAACATCACAAGTAACCCTTTATGCAACATCAGAAGATAGTTCTTCTGTGACAATTCTTACTACCTTACCAAGTGAAGCAGGTGCATCAGCCTCATTTGTTACCAATCCTGAAGAGACCAGCCCCGGGGTTCCCAGGACAGGCCCAACTTTTTCCCATATTGAATCTCATACCACACCCAAAAAAACTATCACTATTGAACAAGAAGACATACCATCTGTTCCAAATATAGCTATCTCAACTAGTATTCTAAATATGATAACATTAGTAGGCCAGGGTTCTGAAGAAGATGTAAGAACATCTAAACCAATTCTGAGTTTTCAACCTTCTGAAGCACATACCAAAATTTCTCTTATCTCTCATTCTGGGGAAAAGACTAGTTCACCAACATCTACTATTTCTGACTCTCCAGGTGTAACAGAAATCATGAGACCACTATTCACTAGCTCTGAGACACATATAGGTACAAGAAATCAAACTATTTCCCCAGGTCAACCAGAGACCACAACCTCATGGACCATGAATCCTGGAATAGAAGTGACTTCAAGGGCGCTACCTACAACCATCTCACCTAATGTTCTAGACATATTGGCCTCAAAATCTGTGAGCCAAGCTCCTAAACTACAGACCACAATTTCACTGGTAATGGATGCTGGGGAAGAGGACAGTTCAGCCATGTCTACTCTGACTGACTTCCCAAGTACAACAAAAGAGGCCACATCACTGGTCACTAACTTAGGTTCAGAAAGCCATGCAACTTCAACTCTAACCTTTCCCCCAGGACAACCAGAGACAACAATATCTTCAATGAACAAGCTTGAAAAAGAAGTCACTTCAAGGGTTCTAATGACAAATTCAAAACTTAGTGCTCCAGACATGATGACCCCAACAATCCTAAGCCACACTCCTTCTGAACCACAGACCATAACATCATTGGTCACCCACGCTGGGGGACAGCTTGATTTATCCATGTCTACTCAGGATGCCTCTTCAGGTATAACAGAAATAACACCACCACTATTTACTAGTTTTGGCACGGAAAGCTATGCAATGACTACAACTCTGGCTGTTTCCCCTGGTCGACCTGAGATCACAGTCCCATGGGCCACCCATCCTGGAAGAGAAGGTACTTCAGGGGTTCTATCTACAACCATCTCACCTAGTGTGCTAGAAATGGTGACTGCAACAATTCTTATTCCTTCTGAACCATATACTGCAGTTTCATTGGTCACTGACATTGAGGAACAGCCTAGTTCAGCCATGACTGCAAGGCCTGTCTCTTCAGGGATAACAGAAATGATCCCATCACTGGTCACTAGTTATGGCACAGAAAACCATCCAGTGGCTTCAACTCTTGCTGTTTCCCCAAGTCAAACAGAGACCACAGCCCCATGGGTCACCCATCCTAGAAAAGAAGACACTTCAGGAGTTGTAACTTCAGCCATACCACCTAGTGCTCCTGGTATGATGACCTCAACATCTATGAACCACATTTTTTCTGAACCACAGAACACAACATCATTGGACATTCATGCTGGGAGACAACACACTTTGGACATGAATAACATGACAGTCACTCAGGTTATGACAGAAATTACATCACATGTCAAAAGCTCAGGCACAGAAAGCCATGCAGTGCCTACAATTATAGCTTTGTCCCCCATACAACCAGAGGCCACAGCACTGGGAGTAACCCATTCTAGAACAGAAGGCACTTCAAGGGTACTATCTACAACCATCTCATCTAGTGTGCCAGAGATGATGACCAAAACTACTATTATTCCTTCTGAACCACATACTGCAGTTTCATTGGTCACCAAGATTGGGGAAGAGCCCAGTTCATCCATGTTTACAAGGCCTATTTCTGAAAGTATAACACAAATGATACCATTACTCCTCACTAGCTATTCCACAGAAAGGCACCCAATGTCTCCAACATTGGATGTTTCGCCAAGTCAACCAGAGACCACAGACCTATTGCTCACCCATCCTGGAAAAGCAGCCACATCAGGGGTTCTAACTACTACCATTTCAACTGATGCCCCAGAAATGATCACTTCAACAAATCTTATTCCTTCTAAACCACATACCACACTTTCATTGGTCACCCATATTGAGAAACCGCCTAGTTCAGCCATGTCCACAAGGCCTGTGTCTCCAGGTATAACAGAAATGATACCATCACTTGTCACTAGTTCAGGCACAGAAAGTCATTCAGTGGCTTCAACTCTGACTGTTTCCCCAGATCAATCTGGGTCCACAGATTCATGGCTTACCCATCTTGGAAAAGAAGGCACTTCAGAGATTCTAAGTACAACTATCTCACCTGATGTTCCAGACATAATGACCTCAATAACTATGAACTACATTCCTTCTGAACCACAGACCACAGCATCATTCATCACCTATGCTGGTAGACATCCCATTTCATCCCTGTCTACCCAGGCTGTCTCCTCAGGAGTAACAGAAACAATGACATCTCAGTCCAGTAGTTCTAGCACGGTGACACATGAAACTAGCCCTGCTGTATTTGTTACCCCAGTGCAAAGTGAGTCTACAGCCTCATGGACAACTCATGCAGAAAGAGAAACCAATGCAGGTGTTCTAAATACCACAGTTTCAGTCAGTGTTCCAGACCTTGTTACTTCCACAGCTCTTATACCTTCTGAACCACATTCCACAGTTTCATTTGTTACTCACACTGGTGAACAGCCCAACTCTACCATCCCTATTCTGGCCATCTCTCCAGTTATAACGAAAGTGACACCATCACTGGTCCCTAGCTCTGGCACAAAAAACATTTCGGCAGCTACAACTCTGGCAGTCTCTACCAATCAACCAGAGACCACAGGTTCATGGGCCACCCATTCTGTAAAGGCAATTGCTTCAGATATTATAACTACAACTAAGCTACCTAGTGCTCCAGAGAACATAACTGTAACAAGCTTGGCCAGCACTCCTTCTGAAACACAGACCATAATACCAGAGGTTACCCATGCTGAGGCACAACCCAGTTTATCCATATCAAATCTGGCTGTCTTATCAGGAGTAACAGAAGTGATGACATCCCATGTCAGTACTACAAAGACAAATAAAACCAGCCCAGCTGTATTTGTTTTCACAGGTCAAACAGACAACACAGACTCATGGACAGCTCATGCTGAAAGGGAAAAAATTGCAGGTGTTCTAAATACCACCATTTCAACTAGTGTTCCAGACCTCCTTAATGACACAACTCTTATTTCTTCTGAACCACATTCCACAGTTTCATTTGCTACTCACATTGGTGAACAGTTCAATTCAGCCATGCCTACTATGGCTGTCCCTCCAGGTATAAAAGAAATGATTCTGTCACTGGTCACTAAGTCTACTACAAAAAACAATTTAGCAGCTACAACTCTGGAGGTGTCCACAGAACAAACAGGAACCACAACTCTATGGGTCACCCATGCTGGAAATGAAGGTGCTTCAGGGGATTTGTCTAGAGCCACATCACCTAGTGTTTCAGACACGACTTCAACAACTCTGAATCACACTGTTTCTGAAACACAGACTATAACATCATTGGTCACCCCTGGTAGTGGACATCCAAGTTCATCCATGAATTCCCAGTCTGTCTCTTCAGGTGTAACAGAAATGACACCATCACTTGTCACTAGCTTGGGCACAGGAAGCTATGCAATCACTTCAACTCTGGATGTTTCCATAGGTCTGCCTGAGACCACAGCTTCATCGTTCATTCCTCCTGAAAGAGAAACCATGTCAGGAGTACCAAATACTACCATTACAACTGGTATCACAGAAATGATGACAGCAACAACTCTTATTCCTCCTGAATCATATAACACAGTTTCGTTGGTCACCCACATTGAGGAACAGCCCAGTTCAACCTTGTCTATAAGGCCTGTGTCTCTAGGTATAACAGAAATGATACAGTCACTGGTCACCAGTTCAAGCACAGAGAGCCATCCTGTGACTTCAGATCTGTCTGTTTCCCCAGGTCAAGCAGGGACCACAGCACTGGTCACTCATCCTGGAAAAAAAGACACTTCAAGAGTTCCATCTACAACCTTCTCCTCTAGCGTACTAGAAATGAAGACATCACCAATGCTTATTTCTGCTGAAGCACACACCACAATGCCACTGAACACCCATGTTGGGGGACAACCCAGTTCAGCCATGTCTACAAGGCCTGTCTCTTCAGGTATAACAGAAATGATACCATCATGGGTCACTAGCTCAGACATAGAAAGCCATTCCATGATTTCCACTATGACTGTTTCCACAGATCATCCAGAGACTACAGCCCCATTGAATACCCATCATGGAAAAGAAGGCTCTTCCATGGATCTATCTACAACTATATCATCTAATGTTCCAGATATGATTACCTCAACAAGTCTGAACCAAACTGCTTCTGAACTACAAACCGTAACATCATTGGTCACCCATGTTGGTGGACATCCAAGTTCATTCATATCTACTCAGGTTGTTTCTTCTGGTGTAACAGAAATGACACCATCACTTCTCACTAGCTTGGGCACAGGAAGATATGCAATCACTTCAGCTCTGGATGTTTCCATAGGTCAACCTGAGACCACAGCCCCATTGGTCCCCCATCCTGAAAAGGAAGCCACATCAGGGGTACCAAATACTACCATTACAACTGGTGTCACAGAAATGATGACAACAACAACTCTTATTCCTTCTGAACCACATAATACACTTTCATTGGACACCCACATTGAGGGACAGCCAAATTCAATGTCTACATGGCCTGTGTCTCCAGGTATAACAGAAATGGTACAATCATTGGTCACTAGCCCAAGCCCAGAAAATAATTTCATGACTTCAAATGTGGGTGTTTCCCCAAATCAACCAGGGACCACAGCTCCAGGGGTCAACCATCCTGAAAAAGAAGGTATTTCAGGAATACTATCTACAAACATCTCATCTAGTATACCAGAAATGATGACATCACCATCACAAAGTCTTGCTTCTGGTGAACCATACACCACAGTGTCATTGGTCACTCATATTGAGGGACAGCCCAGTTCAGCCATGTCTACAAAGCCCGTCTCTCTAGGATTAGCAGAAATTATATCACCCTTTGTCACTAGCTCAAGCACAGAAAACCATTCAGTGACTACAACTGTGACTCTTTCCCCAGATCAACCTGGGACCACAGGTTCATGGGTCACTCATCCTGGAACAAAAAGCACTTCAGAGATTGTAAGTTCAACTGTCTCACCTGCTGTTCCAGACATAATGACTTCAACAACTCTGAACCGAACTGTTTCTGAAGAAAAGACAACATCATTAGTCACCTATGATGGTGGCCATCACACTCTGTCTATGTCTACTCATGGTTTCTCTTCAGGTGTAACAAAAATGATGACAACTTGGGCCACTAGTTCTAGCACAGTGAAACATAAAACTAGCCCTGCTGTATTTGTTACCCCAGTGCAAAGTGAGTCTACAGCCTCATGGACAACTCATGCAGAAAGAGAAACCAATTCAGGTGTTCTAAATACCACAGTTTCAGTCAGTGTTCCAGACCTTGTTACTTCCAAAACTCTTATATCTTCTGAACCACATTCCACAGTTTCATTTGTTACCCACACTGGTGAACAGCCCAACTCTACCATCCCTATTCTGGCCATCTCTCCAGTTATAACAAAAGTGACACCATCACTGGTCCCTATCTCTGGCACAAAAAACATTTCAACAGCTATAACACTTGAAGTTTCCACAGATCAACCAGAGACCACAGGTTCATGGGTCACCCATTCTGTAAAGGCAGTTGCTTCAGACATTGTAACTACAGTCATGCCACCTAGTTCTACAGAAAATATAACTACAATGAGTCTGACCAGCACTCCTTCTGAACCACAGACCATAACATCATTGGTCACCCATCATAGTGGACATCCCAGTTCATCCATGTCTATTCAGGTTGTCTCTTCAGGAGTAACAGAAATGATGACATCACAGACCACTACAACTGGAACATCAGCACATGAAACCAGTCCAGATCTACTTGTTTCCCCAGGTCAAACAGAGACTACATTCTCATTGACAACTCATTCTAAAAGGGAAGAAACTGCAAGTGTTCTAAATAACACCATTTCACCTAGTGTTCCAGAGCTCCTTAATGCCACAACTCTTATCACTTCTGAACCACATTCCACCATTTCTTTTGCCACCCACACTGGTGAACAGTTAAATTCATCTATGCCTACTCTGGATGCCTCTCCAGGTATAACAGAAATGATGTCATCACTGGGAACTAGCTATGATGCAGAAAATCATTCAACTCTGGAAGTTTCCAGAGATCATCAAGGGACCATAGCCCCATTGGTTACCCATCCTGGAAAAGAAGGCTCTTCAGTGGATCTATCTACGACTATATCACCTAATGTTCCAGACATAACCACAACAAGTCTGACCAGCACTACTTCTGAACCACAGACCACAATATCATTGATCACCCATGTTGGTGGACATCCAAGTTCATCCATATCTACTCAGGTTGTTTCTTCAGGTGTAACAGAAATGACACCATCACTTGTCACTAGCTTGGGCACAGGAAGATATGCAACTACTTCAACTCTGGATGTTTCGATAGGTCAGCCTAAGACCACAGCTGCATTGGTCCCCCATCCTGAAAGAGAAGCCACTTCAGGGGTACCAACTACTACCATTACAACTGGTGTCACAGAAATGATGGCCACAACAACTCTTATTCCATCTCAACCACATAACACAATTTCAATGATCACCCATATTGAGGGACAGCCCAGTTCAACCTTGTCTACAAGGCCTGTGTCTCTAGGTGTCTCAGAAATGACACAATCATTGGTTACCATCTCAAGCACAGAGAGCCATCCTGTGACTTCAACTGTGGGTGTTTACCCAGATCAACCAAAAACCACAGAACCATCCATCAACCATCCTGAAAAAGAAGGAGCTTCAGGGAATCTATCTACAACCATCTCACCCAGTGTTCCAGACATGATGACCTCAACAAGTCTAAACCCCACTCCTTCTGAACCACAGACCATAACATCATTGGTCACCCATCATGGTGGACATCCCAGTTCATCCATGTCTACTCTGTCTGTCTCTTCAGGAGTAACAGAAATGATGATATCACAGGCCACTTCTACTGGAACAGCAGCACATGAAACCACTCCAGATCTACGTGTTTCCCCAGGTCAAACAGAGACTACAGTATCATGGACAACTCATGCTGAAAGGGAAGAAACTGCAGGTGTTCTTAATACCACCATTTCAACTAGTGCTCCAAACCTCTTTAATGCAACAACTCTTATACCTTCTGAACCACATTCCACAATTTCATTTGTCACCCACATTGGTGAACAGCCCAATTCAGCCATGCCTACTCTGTTTGCCTCTCCAGGTAACACAGAAATGGTATTATCATTGGGCACTAGCACTGTAGCAGAAAACCATTCAACTCTAGAAGTTTCCAGGGATCATCCAGGGACCATAGCCCCATTGGTTTCCCATCCTGGAAAAGAAGGTTCTTCAGGGGATCTATTTACAACCATCTTACCCAGTGTTTTGGACATGATGACTTCAATAACTCTGAAGCACACTCCTTCTGAACCACAGACCATAACATCATTGGTCACCAATGCTGGTGGACACCCAAGTTCATCCATGTCAACTCAGTCTGTCTCTTCAGGTATAACAGAAATGGAGCCATCACTTCTCACTAGCCTGAGCACAGGAAGTTATGCAATTACTTCAACTCTGGATGTTTCCATAGGTCAGCCTGAGACCACAGTAGCATTGGTCACCCATCCTGAAAAAGAAACCATGTCAGGAGTACCAAATACTACTATTACAACTGTTGTCACAGAAATGATGACCACAACAACTCTTATTCCTTCTGAACCACTGACCAAAATCTCATTTGTTACCTCTGCTGTGGGTGACACCAATTTAGACCTATCTACCATGACTGTCTCTCCAAGTATAACAGAAATTATGACATCACAGGTCACTACTTCTGGGACAGAGACACATGAAACTCCCCCAGTTCTATTTGTTTCCCCAGGTGAAAAGGAGATCACAACCCCATGGGTGACACATATTGAAAGAGAAACCACCTCAGGTTCTCCAACTACAACTATTTCAACTAATGTTCCAGATATGATTACCTCACCAACTCTTATTCCTTCTGAACCACATACCACAATTTCATTGGTCACTGACATTGGGGAACATCTCATTTCAACAACCATCTCACCTAGTGTGCAAGAAATGGTGACTGCACCAACTCCTATTCCTTCTGAACTACATACTGCAGTTTCGTTGGTCACTGACATTGAGGAACAGCCTAGTTCAGCCATGACTGCAAGGCCTGTCTCTTCAGGGATAACAGAAATGATCCCATCACTGGTCACTAGTTATGGCATAGAAAATCATCCAGTGAGTTCTACTTTTGCTGTTTCCCCAAGTCAAACAGAGACCACAGCCCCATGGGTCACCCATCCTAGAAAAGAAGACACGTCAGGAGCTGTAACTTCAGCCATACCACCTAGTGCTCCTGGTATGATGACCTCAACATCTATGAACCACACTACTTCTGAAGCACAGACCATCGCATTAGTCACCCATGCTGAGGGACAGCCTACTTTATCCACAACTTCCCTAGATGTCTCTTCCCATGTAACAGAAACAATATCACCACTAGTCACTAGCCCTGGTGTGCCAGAAATGATGATCTCACCAAATAGTATTTCCTCTGAAGCACATACCACAATTTCTGTGGTCACCCACATTGCAGGGCAGCCAAGTTCAACCATGTCTACAACACCTGTCTCTCCCCATGTAACAGAAACAAGACCATCACTAGTCACTAGCTCTCATATGGAAAGTGATTCAGTGTCTTCCATTCTGGCTATTTCTCCAAGTCAGCGAGAGACCCCAGTCTCATGGGTCACTCCTCGTGTAACAGAAGCCACTTCAAGCATTCCAAGGACATCCATCTCTCCTAGTGTTACAGACCTGATGGCCTCACCCACCTTTTTTCCTTCTGAACCACATACCACAATGTCCTTAGTGTCCCATGTTGAGGAACAGTCCAGTTCAGCCATGTCTACAAGCCCTGTCCCTCCAAGTATAACAGAAATGATGACATCACTGGCCACTACTTCTGAGCCAGAGACACATTCAGCTTCTGTAACTCTAGCTGTTTCAAATCAAACAGAGACCACGGCCTCCTGGGTCAGCCATCCTGGAAATGAATCCATGTCAACCATTTCTACTCTATCTACTTTTTTTGAGCCAAAAAGAACTGAAACATGGCTCACTCTTTCTTCCAAGCCCAACACACCACTTTCCACGATAACTCCCACATTTTCTTATAGTGAATCAGACATTACCCCCTCAGCTTCTAGGGCAGAGAGCACTTCTGCCATTCCAACGACTCTTTCATCTGGTGTACAATATATGACCACTCCTCTGGTTGCTGGTTCTACAACAGACAATAGTATGATTTTTCTTCCATTGAGTACACGGGTGCATGAATCAACAACAGTCTCCTTGGTCACTCAACCTGCCTTAACCCAACAAACTTCCAGTTTTTCTGATAGTGGTTTGGATATAATACCCTCAATAGTCAATCATCCCAAAATAGACAACAGTTCATCTGTGCCACCAATGACTGTCTCTCCTGGGGCACCAGGTGTAATGATCTCACAGTTCACTAGCTCTGGGCCATCAACCAGTACATTTCCAACCACAGTTCTGTCTGCTAGTGAACCAAAAAGCACAGCCTCATTAATTACCCTCCTCCTTGCAGATACCAACAGAACCTTTCCTACTTCAACTGATTTTCTTTCTGTTTTGGAGACCACAGCCTCAGTGCCCATTACACCTAGGGTAAATGTTAGTGCAACTCAGACTGTCTCCCCTGGTGTACCAGAAATGACAAAATTTCTCTTGAACTCATTTGTGACTGAGGACAGCAGGAGTGGCCTGGGTACAACATTTTCATCTGGTGCTTCTGAAGAAACAGCCTCTCTCTCCATTCACTCTGGGACTGAAACCAGTACAACCCCTCCCCTTGTTTCAGCAGGTACCACAGGTTTATGGGCTCCCATCCCTTCAACAGAATCAACTCTGACTATGTCTCCTAGTGTCCCTGGGTTTCCTGGTGTTGCTACAACTAGCAAATTTAGCAATGCAACTTTACAGACCACAGAAACTTCTGCATCTGTCACTACAGTTAGATTTTCCAATTTTGTCAGTGATTCCACAAGCCCTGTAATGACCTTGATATCATCAGAGTCCTCAACAAGCCTGCTTATTGACCTGGAAACTACAAGTGAGACTTCTCATTTAGCTACCACAAGTTCAAGACCCACTGAGGCTAAGACCACAACTACACTACATGGAAGTCCTTTTGCCCCTGTGACCACCTCTAGAATGTCCACACGGTCTTCGGAGAATGTGACTTCAAGACCAAGTAAGAGTAAGCTTTATTATTGTAATAGTCGTAATATGTGTATATATATATATATATATATATACTATATATATATATAATGTAAATATTTCCTCTTTGTGTGTGTTTAGGTATAAAATTCAGTATTGTTGAATGTATACTGTCATGCAACCACCACTTTCAGTTTCCAGACAATTTTTGGATTCCTGTTCATTATTGGCTTTGTGAGGATTGAATCTAGGACCTCACATACTTCAAATGCTATGTCACTAATCCATAGCCACAACTCTCCAAACAATTTTATTCACCCCAAACTGAAATTCTATGCTCATTAAGCAAAAATTCCCCATTCTATATTCTCTCCAACTATTAGTGACTGTGTGCTTCCTTTCTATGTGCTGTATCCATTATACAGCTATTATACACACAGATGCTGTGAGTTCAAGACTGCAACAGCCATGGCATACCTGGAAGACAGATTTTCCTAACAAACTACTGATTCCTTTGACTCTTATTTTCTGTCTGTACCCTCTTTCACAATGTTTCCTCAGCCTTGGAACTTGTTATTCATTGATTTTTTAAATTTATTCATACATTCATTTGCTTTTAATAGTTTATGTGGGAGGGAGCATATTCAGTCAGAGACAAGAGAATATCAAGTATTCTCCTTTATCACTCTTCACTTTATTCCATTTAGGTAGGGTCTTTCACTGAACTTAGAACTAGACTGAAGTGAGCAATCTAACATCCTCCTGTCTCCACCCACAACACTGCTCTGTTTGGTGTTGCAGGTACACATATGTGCAAGCACAATTTTTTATATGTGTGCAAGGGATTCAAACTCAGGCTCTCATACTTGCATGACAAACACTTTCACCTCTTCATAGTCTCAAGAGCTACAAGAGTTTTTATTAAATTTTGAATTTTTCCTTTTTCTATTTTTGAGATTTTAATAGAGTTATATAAATTTCCCTTTCCCTAAACCCTCCCATAAACCTCAACCTTGCTCTTTTTCAAAGTTATAGCCCTCATTTCATTGGTTGTAGTCACATGTATGCATATATACATATATTCCTAAATATAATTTACTGAGTCTATGTAATGTATGAATATTTTCAGGAGCAGCAATGACCATGGCTGAGCAAGTATCTCTGGAGTAGGATGTCATATCTTGGGGCGTATTACAAGGAGCAATATGGCTGTGTAATAGGGTGTAGTTTTGAGAATTATCCAACCCTGATTTCCATAGTGGCTGCATGAGTTTGCAGATCCATCATCAGGGAATAAGAGTTCCCGTTCCCACACAACCCCTTTAGGATGTGTTGTCTGTTGTTTTCTTAGTCTTTGCCATTTGGATTGGGATAAGATAAAACCCCAAAGTTGTTTGGACTAACATTTCCCCGATTTCAAGGAATTCTGAATATTTTTTGAGTATTTCTTAAACGCTTTTATTTTTCTCTTTCTCTTTTTTAAGGATAAAGGTCACATTTATTCAGTGTGAGTGGATAGGTATTTTGTTAAAAACGTACATAAGGTTTTGAATACTTTTGTCTATCTTAAAAATTCTTCTCTTATATTACATCTTTGACTTTAGTTTCTCCTCCTTCCCTTACATCAAGTCTCTCCCACTACCTCCCCTCTCTTCTAAATACCCTCTCCCACACCTCCCTCCAGAAAAGAGCAGGCCTCCCAGGGAGATCAACCAAACCCAATCTCTGGGTTGAAGTCTACTTGCTTATGGTGTATGATCTTTATGATGTGTTCTTGAATTCATTGTGCAAGCAGTTTATTAGGTATTTTTGCATCTATGCTCGTAAGGGTGTTCAATTTGGTCTGTAATTTTCTTTCTTTATTGGACCTTTGTGTGGTTTGGGTATCGTGGTGACTGTGGTCTCATAAAATAAATTTGGTAATGTACTTTTTGTTACTATTTTGTGAAATAATTTGAGGAGTATTGTGTTTATCTCTTTGATGGTCCAGTAGTTTTCTGTACTAAAATGTATTGCCTTAGGTTTTTATTGGATGGGAAACTTAATGACTGCTTCTATTTCTGTAGGGGTTATAGATCTATTTAAATTGTTGATTTCCTCTTGATTTAAGTTTGATATTTGGGATCTGTCAAGAAAATTACCCATTTCTTTTAGATTACCCAGTTTCGTGGAGTACAGGTTTTTAGTATATGACCTAACAATTCATTGGATTTCCTTGATATCTGTTGTTATGTCCTTGTTTTAGTTTCTGATATTGTTAATCTGGATATTCCCTCTGTGTCTTTTAGTTAGTTTGGATAAGGGTTTGTCTGTCTTGTTGATTTTCTCAAAGAACCAGCTCTGTTTCATTGATTCTTTTTTAGGCTGTATTTTTTCTATTTTATTGATTTCATCCCTCAGTTTATTTCCTGCCATCTATTCACTTTAGGTTTGTTTGCTTCTTTCTTTTTCCTATAGCTTTCAGATGTGCTGTTAAATTGCTACTATGGGACATCTCCAATTTCTTTATGAAGGCGCTTAGTACTATGAACTTTCCTCTTAGCATTGCTTTCATCATGTCCCACAAGTTTGTGTATATTGTGCATTCATTTTCATTGTATTCTAGGATGTCCTTAAATTCTTTCTTATTTCTCCATTGACCCATTAGTTGTTCAGTTTCCAGGAGTTTTAGTCTTTCTGTTGTTTCTGTTCTTTTTGAAATCCAGCTTTAATCTGTGGTTACCTGATAGGATAAGGCTATTTCTATTTTCTTATATATGTTTAGGCTTGCTTTATGCAATGTGGTCAATTTTGGAGAATGTTTCATGAAGTGCTGAGAAAAAGGTATATGCTTTTGGGTTTGGGCAAAATGTTCAAGGGTATCTGTGAGGTCCTTTTGATTCATGGCATCCTTTAGCTTCATTATTTCTCTCTTTACTTTTCATCTGGATGACCTGTCCATTGGTGAGAGTCGGGTATTGGAATCTCCAACTATTAGTGAGTGAGGTTTGATGCATAACACTGCTAGCTTTAGTAGTGTTATCTTTTACAAATGTGAGTACCGTTGCATTTGCAGCATAGATGTTAAAAAGTGAAATATCATCTTGGTGAACTTTTCCTTTGATGAGAATGAAATGTCCTTGATTAAATTTGGTTTGAAGTCTATTTTGTTAGATATTATAATAGATACAGCAGCTTGTTTCTTGGGTCCACTTAGTTAGAAAATCTTTTTTCAACCCTTTACTCTGAGGTAATGTGTATCTTTCATATTGAGGTATGTTTCTTGTATGAAGCAGAAGGATGGATATTGTTTTTATATCCATTCTGTTATTCTGTGTCTTTTTATTGGGGAATTGAGTCCATTGATATTGAGAGACATTAATGACCAATGACTGTTAATTTCTGTTATTTTGTTATTGGTGGTGATGGTAGTGTGTGTGGGTGTGTGTTTGTGTGTGTGTGTGTGGTTCTGTGTGTGTGTGTGTGTGTGTGTGTGTGTGTGTGTGTGTGTGTGTGTGTGTGTGTGTGTGTCTTCTTTGAATTTTGCTGGAGTGAGATCATTTATTGCCTGTTTTTGTTGGTATAGTTAAGCTTGCGCTGGGGTTTCCTTTCTAGTACATTCTGTAGGTCTGGGTTTATGGAAATATAGTTTTTAAATTTGACTTTGTTATGAAACATCTTGTTTGCTCCATCTATGGTGATTGATGGTTTTGTTCTGTATAGTAGTCTGGGATGATGTATGTAGTCTCTAGAATCTGCAAGTCATCAGTCCAGGCCCTTGTGAATTTTAGGATCTCCATTGAGAAGTCAGGTATGATTTTAATAGGTCTGCGTTTATGCTACTTGGCCCTTGACACTTTGAATATTCTTTCCTTCTTCTGTATGTTTAGTGTTTTGATTATTATGTGGCATAGGGATTTTTTGATCCAATATATTTGGTGTTCTGTAGGCTTCTTGTACCTTTATAGCATATCTTTCTCTAGGTTGGAAAATTTTTCTTTTATGATTTTGTTAAAATATTTCTCTGGATTTTGAGCTGGGATTCTTGTACTTCTATTCCTATTATTTGTAGGTTTGGTCTGTTCATAGTGTCCCATATTTCCTAGATGTTTTGTGTTAGGAATTTTTGTTTTGTTTGTTTTGTTTTTGAGACAGGGTTTCTCTGTTTAGCATTGTAAAATGTCCTTGAACTGGCTTTGTAGATCAGGTTGTCCTCAGACTCATAGAGATCCAACTGCCTCTGTCTCTTGAGTGCTTGGATTAAAGGCATGTGACACATCACCAGACTGGGAATGTTTTTAATTTAAACACATTTATTTTTAATTTACATACCAACTCCAGTTCTTCATACCTCCCCATTTCTCACCCTCCCCACCTCCCTGCCTTTCCACCTCCATCCACTCCTCAGAGGGGCTAAGGATTTCCTTGGGGAGTGAAAAAAGTCTAGCCAGGCATTGGTGGCACACACCTTTAATCCCAGGACTCCGGAGGCAGAGACAGGCAGATCTCTGTGAGTTCCAGGCCAGCCTGGTCTCCAGAGTGAATGCCAGGATAGGCTCCAAAGCTACACAAAGAAACCCTGTCTCAAAAAAAAAAAATCTAACATACCAAGTTGAGACAGGACCAAGCCCCTGCCCCCTGTATCAAGGCTGATCAAGGTATCACACCATAGGAAATGGGCTCTACAAAGCCAGTTCATGTACCTGGGATAGATCCCACTGCCAGGGTACCCCTGAACAAATTAAGCCACAAGACTGTGACCCACATTCAGAGTTCCTCAGGTGTCAGTCCATAGTGTGTGAGCTCCCACTAGCTCTGATCAGCTGCCTTTGTGGGTTCCCCCATCATGGTCTTACTTCTGTTGTTCATATTATCCCTCCTCCCTCTCTTCAACTGAACTCCAGGAAATTTTTAGATTTAACATTTTCTTTGACTGATGAATCTATTTCCTCTATCATGCCTTCAACACCTGAGATTCTTTCTTCCATCCCTTGTATTCTGTTGGTGATCCTTACATCTGTAATTCCTGTGTGCTTACCCAGATTTTCTATG